AGGGGAGCTGTTGCATTGTGGTAAACTGTGGTCAATGACATGAGACAAAGTATATGTGAACTGCTGTATGGAAAGCGAATTTGCTCTGTAAATCTTTACTCAAATCACAATAAATAATAAATTTTAAAAAATTATTGTGTCCCTATGATAAATAAACCAAACTAAATCCACTGTCCCATCCATTCTGACTCAAAGCCACCTACAGGACACAGCACAACTGCCCCCATAGGGTTTCCAAGGCTGTAAATAAATCTTCATGGACTGCCTTATCTTTTTCCCACAGAGTGGCTGTTGGGTTCAAAATACCTACCTCTCAATTAACAGTCCAATGCTTTAAGCACTACACCACCAGAGTGCCATATGATAAATAAACATGGCCTTATATTGTGTATCTAATTAACCTACAGAAAATCTCTTTTTTCCCTTGGATAGGGACTTTATGTTTTGCAGAGTACTTTGGCATATATTCATTATTTTATTTTATTCTCACAACAATCTTGCTAGGTGGACAAAACAGAGATCATTATCGCCAGGATATATTAGAAGAAACTCAGAGAGGGTAAATGACCTGCTTAAGGTCATACACCTTGGATGGTCCCTGACACTAAAACCTGAGGACTTCTGACTCCAGTCACGATTCCCAGTCTCTGCCAGTCCCACACAGCTCAATTCATATAATAAGCTCTAGTTATTCACTGAGAGCTCTGGTAGCTTAGTGCCTAAGGCATTTGACTGTTAACCAGAAAGCTGGCAGTTGAAACCCACCAGCCACTCCTCGGAAGGAAGGTTGGGCAATCTACTACCATAGTGATACTGCCTCAGAAACCCAAAGAAGGGTCGCTAGGAGTCGGATCCGACTCGAGAGCAGTGAGTTTGGTTTTTGGTTTAGTTAGTCACTAAGAATAAAGATACTAGGAACAAACAGCAACGGTTGAAATGGGTAACAGTGAAGGAAAAGAGTATCGCGCATGCGCAGATCACTAATAGGGACCAAAACGGTGAGGTAGGTTCGGGAAAGTTAGAAGCTGCCCTCCTTCCTACACGCTATCCTTGGCCTCCAGCTAACGCGCAAGCGCACTGCTCAGGCTGAAGGTCAAACTCAACAGGGCGGTACTCACAGTTGCGCAGGCGCGACTCTGCGCCGGGTCGCCAAGATGTCGTTCCCAAAGTACAAGCCGTCGCGCCTGGCCACTCTACCCAGTACTCTCGATCCAGCCGAGTACGACATATCTCCGGAGAACCGGCGGGCTCAAGCCGAGCGCCTGGCCATAAGATCCCGTCTTAAACGGGACTATCTACTTCAGTACAACGACCCCAGCCGCCGAGGGCTCGTCGTGAGTGGGGGGCCGACTGGGCGGGAATCGAGGGGCCAGAGGACGGGCGGGACCCTCGGTGGGCATCCTGGATGTCCCTGATCAACTCAGGGCCCCAAGAAGAGGGTCTGCCTCTCCGAGGCCCAGACAGTATACCAACTCACTAAGCCCTTTGACCTTGGGCTTGGTGGTTAAGAGGGTGTGTTATGGAGTCAGTCACGCTGGATCACTCCCGACCTGGGTGATCTTGAGAAAAGTTATTTAACTCCTTTAAGCCTGTTTCCCTTTATGAAAAATGGAGATAATATCTCATTGCCGTCATGAGGATTAAGTGGGATAAAGCACGTGATGGTCTAGCACAGTGACTGATGGTAATGAGTTCAGAAAATTTTTATGTGGATGTAATGTTAAAAACTGTTTTCCACCTTTCAGTTCACGGCATATAGCGAGAGTACTCCCTCCTGATGGGAATATGGTGATTTCTTCAGTTTACATCTTTTAAAGGCCTTGCAGCTTGTTGAAGCTTTATGTTTTGGAGTACAACCCCAGGGCACTACACACTGGCAAATTATATGACCCTTGGGCAACTTCGGAAGGAAGACTGGGCAATATCCTTCCGTAGAGATACCGCCTCGGAAACCCAAGAAGTGGGCGCTTTGAGTCGGAAACGACTCGATGGCAGTGAGTTTGGTTTTTGGTTTTTTGGGGCATCTTACCTAACCTTTTTGAATCTTAGATTCCAGTATTTAGGTGGGAATAACTTAAAACTCACTGCCATAGAGTCCATTCCAACTCTTTAGAGACCCCCATTGGGTTTCTGAGGAGGTGAATCTTTACGGAAGTAGATCGCCTCATCTTCCGCACAGTGGCAGGTGGGTTTGAACCGCTGACCTGGTTAGCCAGATGCCTTATCCACTACACCATCAGAGCTCTTTAGGTGGGAATGGTAGTATATTATTCATAGAGTTGTGGTGAGGTCAGATGATAAAATCTCTGTAGCAGGCCTGACACATAATAGGTATTCAGTAAACTGATAGCTAGTTTTATATAACAGGTGTGCTTTTAGATAATTTTATATACAGAGCTGTTTACATATTATGTTAAGAACAACAAAGACATCAACAGATGCATAGGGTTTTGGGGAAGTTATGAGGATTAAAAAGTTACAATGTGCAAGACACTATGCTAAACCCTTCCCGAGTATTTTATTCATATATCACAACTATTCAGAGTTAAGCTCCAGTATAACTGAAAAAACCAAACTTACTGCCATCTAGTCAATTCTGACTCATAGCTACCTCCATTGGGTTTCTGAGGCTGTAAACCTTTACAGAAGTAGATTGCCCCATCTTCCTTCCACTGAGTTTGAACTGCTCACCTTCTGGTTAGCAACCAAATGCCTTATCCACTATGCCACCAGAGCCCCTTGAGCTCTATTACTATCCTCATTTTACATATGTGAAGACAGCATGGAAAGGACAAGTAGCTCATGCAGATACCCAATTAGCAGCAAGTGAAAGCAAAATTTGAATCCCATTCTTTGTAACCCAGGAAAGCTCTGGTAGTGTAATGCCTAAGGCACTTGACTGCTAACCAGAAGGCTGGCAGTTCAAACCCACCAGCCACTCCTCAGAAGGAAGGTTGGGCAATCTATTTCCATAGTGATACTGCCTCAGAAACCCAAGGAGGAGTTGCTATGAGTCGGGTCCGACTCCGGGCACATAATGACAACAACAACTGTGTAACCCAAAGCTTCTAAGTTGTTCTCAGCCACAACCTTGTTTACTTGAGAAAAAGGTGTGAGATAGACATTTGTTATGTACATACTGATATGATTGGGTTTGATGTGCCAGATAGCACAACAATGGGTGAAAAAGTAAGGCCTTGGAGTCAGACAAACCAAAGTCAAACCTCAGATCGTTCATTTTCCAGCTCTATGACCAGGGGCATTTTCTCATATGTAATATAGGGGCAACAACACCTGCCTCGCTGTTTGTTCTGATAATGAAATAAGTGTCTGGCACTTAATCATTTTTTGGCTTATAAATGTAAATTCCTTGCCCAATCTTTTTGATTCAATTAGTCAATAAATAATTGCTCAGGGCAATTATCTGGCAGTTATATGGCAGATCCTATTTTAGATGCTGAGGTAACAATGAAGAACAAAACAAACTGAAATCTCTGTCCTCATAGAGCTTTCTTTGCATTGGGGGAGATAAGTAATGAACAAGTTTGAAAATAAATTATTTAACATATTAGAGAGTGATAAGTAACAAGAAGAAAAATAAATCAGGGAGGGGGACTAGAAGTGTGTGTATGTAGTGGGAAGGGGGAGCAGCTGTAATTTTAGATAGGGGAGGCCAGGGGAGGCCTCTCTTAGAAGGTGATATTTGAGTAAAGACCTGAAAGACTCTTGGTGAGGGAGCTAGCCATGCAGAGGGAGAGCAGGTGCCAGGATCCTTAGTAATGTCCCTGAAGAGGCCATTGTGGCTGAAGTAGAGGGAAGTAAGGGCAGAGTGAGAGGAGATGAGATCAGAGAGATATCTGGAGCTAGATCACACTGGGCCTTGTAGGTCATTGTAAGAACTTCCATTGAGTAGAGGGTCGTAACCAATAACCAGTTGCTGTTGAGTTGATTCTGACTCATAGCAACCTATGTGTGTCAGAATAGAACTGTGTGCATCGGGTTTTCAATGGCTGATTTTTCATAAGTAGATCACCAGGCCTTTCTTTAAGGCACCTCTGGGTGGACTTAAACCACCAACCTTAGGGTTGCAGCCAAGCCCATTAACCATTTGCACCACCTGAGACTCCTATAATCTGGACTTTAACAAGCTCTCTCTGCTGCTTAGTTGAGAACAGACAAAAGGGAGGAGTAATTTAGTTAAGAGATGATGGTCACTACCAGGATGGTAACTGGAAGTGGTGAGTAGTCAGATTATGTGTATGTATTAAAAGTAGAGCCCACCAGATTGGCTGGCAGATTGGATGGTGGAATATGAGAGAAAGAGAGGGGTCAAGGATGACTCCAAGGTTTTTAACATAAGAAACTGGCAAAATGAAGTAGCCTTTCACTGAGATGGGAAAGAATTTGAGAGGATCTGGTATGAGATGGAGTAGAATATTAGGAAATTAGTCTGTTTATATTTGTTTTAGTCAAGATGGTTATTAGACGGAATGTTGAGCAAGCTGTGGGATATTAAGTCAAGGGGAGAGATGTAGGTCTGGAGATGGAGTTTTGAGAGTCATCAGAAGAATTTGAACAGGATTATCAGAGAATTACTCAACAAATAGGTGAATATTTAAGGCCATATGACTGAACAAGATCATCAAAAGAGTGAGTGTAGCAATCTGAGATCTTTGAACCGAGGCTCTCCAATTTAAAAGATTGGGGAGTTAAGGAGGAAAAGAACAAAAGAGACTAAAGAGGAAAATCAAGCAGGTATGTGTCCTGGAAACCAAGTGAAGAAATGGCTACAAGAAGGAGTGTTCATCATGTCAAATGCTGCCAGAAGTCCAATGAATGTAGAATGATGTCAACGAAGACTATCTCCATAGTTTGTCTCTTGGAACCTCTCAGCAGAATTACCAGGCTCAGTGAACTATGATCACGGGGCTGTTGATATTTCTGTGAAATGAAATGCCTGTTTCTGGAAGACAGAACTTGCAGATATTAAAGGGTAGAGAACTGACTAGCAGAGTTTTGAGAATTCTATCAGATAGTCATTCAAATACATTTATAGTAGAAGGGATAGATATAAAAAGACTTGGAATTTATTCTCTCAGGTATTGTGATTGAACAATCAAACATCCCCTTGAACCTATCCTCTGTATCTTCACCCTCTTTACTGTTTCTGTTTGGAATATAGACATAATATTACCACAGAACACCCTCCTGCAACTTATTTGTTGCCTGGAGAGGCAAGTGTGGGGTATTGCTAGTAAAGGTTCTAGAAACAAAATCTGAAGTATGACACAGCATATGAAACCAGTTTGTCTTCATCAGGAATTCTGTAGATGGTCTCACTTCAATAAAGACAATGAAGCTAAAAATTATTAGATAAAAATTATCAAGGAGAGAAAGTGACTTCTTACACAGTTTAAGAAGGTGAGGATTCTTAAATAAATGGAGAGTGGAAGCGTGATATAAGAGTCTTTAAAATTCAGAAGGATTTGAACAGGATTATCAGAGAATTACTCAACAAATATTAGAAACGAAAGACCTTCCCTGAAGCAATTTCAGAATATTCAGGGTATACCTTAACTCTTGTAGAACATAAAAGGCATATATCTCCTGTGCCCTTCCACAAATGTCCTTATGAAATCCTTTCTTTAGTATGGCACTTTTTAAGTTCTCTTATTTTTGTTTTCATTGATTCTAGGAAGATCCTGCCTTGACTCGTTGGACCTATGCAAGATCAGCAAATGTCTATCCTAATTTCAGGCCTACTCCCAAGACCTCTCTCTTAGGAGCTGTGTTTGGCATTGGGCCCCTGTTCTTCTGGTATTATGTTTTCAAAACTGACAGGGTAAGTATTAGAACCTGATGCTAGTATTTGTGGAGTAGACTCTCAGCGCCAGCTGCTGCTCTTTCTCTTTGATAAATGACACCCGTGTCTCTCCCATCTCAGGCCCTCTGCACTTCCTTTTACCTTTATTCCTATACAAAACCAAAAACCACACCCATTGCTGTCAAGTTGATTCTGACTCATAGTGACCCTATAGGACAGTAGAACCGCCCCAGGTTTCCAGGGCTATTATAAATCTTTACAGAAGCAGACTGCCTCATCTTTCTCCCACAAAACAGCTGATGAATTCAAACCAATGACCTTTTGGTTAGCAGGTGAAAGCCTTAACCACCGCACCACCAGACATCCTTTTATCCGTATACAGCAAGAGTTAAAAAGAGTTTTCAATTATATGTTTGGTTTTCTTAGTTTATTGTTTTCGCTCATAGAAATATTTTTTAAAAAAAGTCATGATAGCCACAGGGTTTTTCAATCAAATTAAATTTAATGGCTTCTCTAGAATTTAAAATAATAAAATGATCAATATAAATTTCTAAGACCAGAACTTAGCCCATGAAAAAATTATCCTGTTGTGTTGTAGATAATAAAAGGAAATTGTATCAAACAAAGGAATACAGAAATAACTTTTCAAAAAGTTAATTTATTTTTTCTCATTAGGAAATGTGTAGAAATTAAATTGTATTCTGACTCAGATAATATCTTTGCAAATTTTTATATTAAATGTTTTAAATTCACTTGTTTATAAAAAGATTGTATTTTTGGGGTAAAGTTATTAGCAGAATATATATATACATAAGTCATTTAATGTATTCCCTATTTGAATAAATTCTAATTCTATTAGTCACATTTTGTGAGTTAATATTAAAACTTACCAGTACCCTAACAACAGAGGAGTAGAAGCTGCCTGTGCTGAACCACTGTCATCAGGGACCTGAGTATAAGATAGCAGGGTAAGCCAAGGTTATCCTTGGCACCAGTTGCTCCACTGCCAGACCTCAGGCCTCATGTTGTCATCTAGGCTGGAGCCTACCCAGCTTGCTCTGCCTTGAACCATCCAATCCACTCTCTTGTTAGAGCTCACACATCTCGATTATTTGATAATTATCTGTCTTATAGAAAAGTAGACCACACTTTCTTGGAAGTTGTTTGCATTTTGCTATTAATGTATGTGTTTTAGGGAGGTAATCTGTTTGTAATTGCTAAAATATGGGAAAGATGTTTTTGAATAAGAGTGTTTTCTTACTGTCCCTTTATTTCTCCAGAGTACTGCCCCATCTGGTGGCATAATGCCTAAGGCATTTGACTGCTAACCAGAAGGCTGGCGGTTCAAACCCACCAGCCATTCCTTAGAAGGAAAATGGGGCAATCTACCTTGGAAACCCAAGGAGGGGTTGCTGTGAGTCGATTTGACTCAACAACAGTGAGTTTGGGTTGTTTTTTTTTTTTTTTTCCTTTTTTATGGCTGCTCACTTAAATCCCCAGGTTTAGATGATGGAGGAGTGAGATTAAGTTGAGAATTTTTCGTTTCCATTTTTCAGGGCTATACTGTAAGTTGTGCCAGAATGCATTGGTTTTTTTAATATTTTTTTTTTATTGTAGTTTAAGTGAAAAATTACAGAGCATATTGGTTTTCCTTTCAATCATTTATATGCATTTTGTTTCATGACATTGATTGCAATCTCCTCAGTGTAATAGCATTCTTCCACCTTCCCTGGGTTCCCTATTTCTATTCATCCTTCTTTCTTGCCCTTTCCTGCCTTCTAAGCTTTGTTTTTGGGCAAATGCAATGTATTGCTTTTTAAAATGTACTCTTTTTTGTTTGTTTGTTTCTTTCTATACAGGATAGAAAAGAAAAACTTATCCAAGAAGGAAAATTGGATCGAACACTTAATATCTCGTACTAAGTTTGGCAATGGTGACTGTATGTGTTCTTGTGTAAATAAATCTACTAATGATTAGTTTCTTTTTTGTAATATCACCTTGTTCCAACAAACATTTTCTGGATATTATAAAATCCCTGCTTTCTAAGAGCTCACAGTTTAATGAAGAAACCGATTTATGTTCATTTATCCAGTCAATAAATGAGTGCTTATAATATGCCATAAATTGTGTGGTGTGCAGAGAAGACAGTAAGTCTGTCAGTAAGATAGACTTAGTCCCTGTGTTTAAAGATTATACCTTCTTAAAGCTGTTTACTCAATCATTATCTGTGCTTATTATGTGTCTGATGCTATTTAATATCTAAGTCCTTGGTCCCCAGTCCCAGTGGTAAATGCAAGAGAATAGTAATAACAGTGTGGTAAAGAACACAGCACCAAGAATACAGTACCAGTCGCTGTGGAGTTGATTCCAACTAGTGACTTCCCCGTGTGTTTTGGAGTAGATCTGTGCTTCTCGGGGTTTTCAGTGGTTGATTTTTCCAAAATAGATTGCCAGGCCTTTCTTGCAGCGGGCCTGTGAGTGGACTTGAACCTCTAACCTTTTGGTTAGCACCCAAGCCTGTTTTCACTGTTTGTACCACTCGGGTACTCCAAAGAATACAATAGAGATTCAGAAAAGTGATGTAGGCAAGCTGATGGAAAAAAGCATGCAATGCTTTTTGAGGAATTCAGGGAACAGGAGACCAATGGGGCAGAATAGGAACATGAAGAATGCAGTGTATTGGATATGGCTGGAGTGGGAGCTGTGGTGGAATGAGGAAAAAGGGAGGATAGGGGCCATGATGTGGAATGGAAGCGTTAAGGTTAAGAGCATGGATACTGGAAGTCAGATCTGGACTAGAATCCTAGCTTTGGGGTTTAGCAATTGGAATATCAGATTTCTGTTTCCTCCTCTATAGCACAGAGATAGTGATGTTTACTGCGTTATAGAGTGATGACATTAAAATGAAGTGAGGGTTACCCAATTATAGCTACCTCATGTTTGTAGTTCAGTCTTGAAGCAATAGAGTGACAGTCTGCTCCAGAGTGAAGTCAGGTGTAGAGGAACAGCATGCTCTGTGAGGCAGATTTACATTTATATATTGGTTTTAACTTTGAGAGCATGTTCACAACTTTTCTCCCATTTGATCCTTGTCTTAAGCCTGGGTTACCCCAAACTGCAGAGCCTGAGAGAACAGCTTGTATGCAGATAGTTTATGTTAGAAAATTATCTGAGGGTAAGAGTGGGGAATGGGAAGAGAGAACGTGCAGGAGGGAAAGGCTTGGTGTATACTATTGACCTGGTAGCCTCTGAGAGTAATGGGCTCAGTTCTACCAAGTGCTTTCTGAGGAATACTGAAGAATGACAATTTTCTCTATATCCCCTGGCTCCTCTCCCCTTTAGTCAAAAATTGTCCCGTGCACTTCCCTTGTACTTCCAGGTATGGGCATGCTTCAGAATGGCTGACTGGGTTTTTACAGGCATTCCACATGGAGTTGGAAGAAAACTGAGGGCAGATAGCAAGTAATGCATTGTGTGAGTTGAGGTGGGGTGTAGTCAGGTTACACCTGCATCATCTCGTGGCTGTGACAGTAGTTGGAGTAAGTAGGCTCAGAGGGTAGGAAGCAGGGCACAGGGTATTCTCAGTGCCTCACCCACCCCTTGCACCACTTGGACTTGTTTGTGCACACATTAAACAATCAGTTACATGAGCTTCAATGTGGTGGCCAGCCACAATCTCTACAGAAGATTCAGTGTAGGAAGGTTAGTGGAACAAGCTACATTCCACATCATTGCAGCTGGTCCTGGGCCATAATTGCCATTCATCATCTCCATTATGCTTTCCAGATTTCCCCCACCTCTAACTATCTCTTGAGCAGGTCTAGCTTGCTTACCTGATAGAGTCGTCATGCTTTCACCTACAAAGTCAGAATTTGACATATTATAGCATCATCAGGCCTTTGTTGCAGTGATTGCCTGTTTACAGTTATCACCAGACACAGAAGCACCAAAATGCTCCAGTGAATCCCCTGGGTTCCAGCCACTCTGCCCCCATTGCAGCAGTCACCCTGAAAAAACAAACCCACTCTTTACAGTAGATTGCCTCCTTCCTCCTGTGGAGTAACTGGTGGGTTTGAACTACTGACCTTCTGATTAGTAGCCAAATGCTGCCAGAGCTCCTTCAGCAGCAACCCCCACTTCTCATAATCATGATTACTGTTGCCAACATGAAAACCTTTTGTTTGTTTTGTCTACTGTTTCCCAGGCACCAGAATCCCAAAAACGACCAGGAGGTAGTCATAGCTTCAATTTAAGTGGACTCTTTACTGTGTATCCTAGTGAAAATGAAACTTTTTCCCCACTACTGTGCGCATCAGGGCTTCTAGTCCAGCAGAGCCTAAATCTGTAGAGAAGGGAAGCACATATTCCATGAATGAATCACTGGAATGGTAAAAGGGGCTAACCCTATCATCCATTATTTCTAAGAGTGATGAATTCTGTGAGACAAATCACTGTAGATATGACTATTGGGTCATTGCATATGCCACGTGGTCAACCCTGTGCCTCAACCCTGCAAGGCGAAAGATAGTAGTAGCCTCAGAACCTGTCTAAATTCACAAGGGGTAGGGGAGAGAATTGGCATCAAGGTCAGTCCAAAGCTGATTCCTGTGAGGTGGAAGTCATATGTAGCTCCAACCATCCAACTTTTTTTTTTTTTTTTTAAGTCTGTTCTGATACCAGCTGTCCTAAATTGGTAATTCTTTGCACACAAAACTCACAGACCAAGGTCATGATTATGGAGTTTATTAGGGAAGTAATAGGTTAAATTCAGGATCTGGATCAAGTTTGAAGTAATAAGAACACAGGATATAGTTCTTTGATCAGGACAGCTTCCAGCCTCAGCTCTTCAACCGTGTCCACAAGCAGGCAGGCAGGGTTTGCTCTCAGCCCTGCACACTGCCAGCCCTTTCAGCCTCTGCCCTGCTCAGGCAGGTGTTAACAGCTCAGCCAGTAGGTACCCGGAAGCAGCCAACTCTGCCAGGAATCCTCCTACCCAAAGATGTTCAGCTCTCTCTTCCTCCATGGGTTGGTGAACCCACTGCAGCTGCTGTCATCTTGGGCTGCTGCTATCTCAGGCCACTGCTACCATATGCCACTGTTGCACACAGTGTTAGAACTCTACAGTGTTAAGAACTCTCTCTCTCCTGGGTCTAGGAGGTTCTCAGCATAAGGCCCAAAAGAAGTGCTCCACTCCCAGCTCTTCTTGATGATAATGAGGTCATCCCAACCTCATGAATTGACTTTTTAAACCTAACAGGATGGCAAAACTGACCAATCTCCTTGGTAGCCCACAGGCACCTTATTTACATATGCCAGCAAGAGTTTTACATAACCTTGTTTGCATAGTCCCACCCAATCATTTTGTGAGAGTTTAAAACCTGAGTGATACATGCCTTGTAAAAGCAATTCACTGCACCACACTTAGCTAAGCTAATAGGCTTAGCCAATAGGCTTAGCTGTGTTTACTTGTGCCTCAGAGCTGCTTGAGCCCAATTCCAGATAGACCATTTCTATTGTAGGATAGATTTTTCCAAAATAGATTGCTATGCCCGCCTGACCTCAGGACTTGATGCTTCTGATGTTATCTAGTTCATCAGGGACAGCTCTGGTCGCATGGTCACTTGTTCTTATGATGAGAAAGTTTCACTCTACTAGGGTTCATTAGCATGCCAGCTGCTTTGGGAATGGAGAATTGTTTTCTGCTGCAGAAGGCATGGCCTTGCTCCAGAACCCTAGGAGTTCGTGCTGTGACTGATCTATTGCCAGCATCTTGCAAAGACTCCAAATAGTATTCTTAACCACCAGGGATAACTAGGGTGTCAGCTGTTCTATGTCCCAAGTGTTGGGTGCTTGTACTGCAGCCTGGACTGCTGCAGACCCTTGTCTGGGCTCAACTCAAAACTGGCAGCCTTGTGACTCACCCCATGTGTGGGTCAGATCCATGTTGCCAAGTGGGCTCAGAATCCAAAGATGCCCACAAAGTACCCTGCTTTTTTCTTAGTAGTAGGTGTGAGGTGAAAGAAACAACTTGCCCTTTACTTTAGGGGAACTGTCAGCATGCTCCAGATCATTGGACCCCCTACAAACATTAATATGGCAGACTTCCCAACTTTTATAGGAATTATCTCCCACTCTCAGGTAGCTCTTAAGGTAATGAGGAGTCTAATCTATGAGTAAGAAGTTTTGAGGCAAAAATAATAGATAAGAAGTATGAAAAACACCAGGTCAAAGTACCCAGGAGGTAAACTCATGGAGCATCTGTATGTAATGGCTGGATGCTACAGTAAAGATGCTTGAATTTCTGAAAAATGGACCTTAGAACCATTTTGGACCTACAACCACCACCCAATTCCAGTAGGCTTTGGCCAAATAATGTAATGCCTCACCAACCATCACCCCTAATTTCAGTAACCCTAAATGACCCTCCCTTCCTTACCACCAAAAGATCTCAAGTAATTTTTTTATACTATTCTCATTTTACTGGATGGCAAAAACTGAAAGTGTCCTACCCTGACCTCTCGTCTTCTTTTTAGATAACTTTTATTGTATTATTTTATTATACCTGTGTAAAAATTAGAAACTAGTTAAGCAAAAGAATTTTTAAAAATGCCCAATTTCAACATACAGGTATAACATTTTTATATATATCTTTCTACAGGTTGTGTTCCTCCCTCTTGTGTATATATGTTTCTGCAACAAAAAGAGGTCTCCCCATGCATAGTAAATTATAACTTTTTTACCTAATGATTTGTCATGAACATCTCTCCATGTAATGACTTTTCTCCAGCATTTTAAGTGGCTGCTAGTATCCTATTCTGGGTTTCTACCATAATTTGTTTAATCAGTCTCATAGTTGGACATTTCATTTTCCAATTTTTTTTTTTTTTTTTTGCTGTGGCAATGAGTGTTGTAATGGACACCC